AGCATTGAGATTGATGCAAATGTTGACTAGAGTTGATTAGAAGGGGCCATACCCACTTAATTCGGTTTTGAATGCGAAGAGGTAAACGCATACATGCTGACATTGAATTTCACACAACTGATTCCAAAATTCGTACTTTAGTTACTTAATTTAGCAATTTAGCAAATTAACCACGATTCATTCACTTTCACTTTGTTCATTTTTTCTTTATTTTGTCACAAACCTAACTACCTCTCATCTATCCATTTATCTACTTAACCTTCTTTACTTCCATCTACCCACCCATCCATTCATTCATCCAGAGAAGTAAAGGTGAAAATGTAGTCATGACGAGGTCTCTTGGCGGATCTTAACGTTCTAGTGGGTATTTTGAGGCATCTCATTTCAATTGTTGGTTATCCCAACAGCCTGTAACCCAAACATCAGCACTTTCGTCCATGCATGGTCAGTAAGCAGAATTTATAGCTATGGATTTGATGCAGTTGGCGTTAGGATGACGGTTGTGATAGTGGCAAATTGTCCGTAGACGTAGTGACCTGAACAAAATATGGGTCATACCCGGACGCTACATAATGAGCCATTGAGGTGAATTGGTGGTGAAAGGTAGTCGCGGAGTGAGCAAAGTGGACTGTAGTTCCTCACACAAAGCAGACTTCATTAAATACATTGGATTACGTTGTAGGATATGATACTTGGCTTGCACGTTTAATGTTGCCAGTTTAACGTAGATGTCTCGCACACCCCGTAATTAAGACAAATTAATTCAGGTAATAAAGTGACCATCAATTCAGCTGCCTTACAAATACCCCATTCAGAAAGGCAAATAAATGCAATTTGCATGATGGAGACGGTGCCCAACGCCAAATTCGAGGAATCCGCTGACGTATATTTCAACAGCCTCTACTGCTTTTCATAAAACCTACATTAATCAAGTGCAGACAGTGAATATCTTAGAAAATGTAGCAGCGTGGTCTGAAGCCCTTGTGTTGCTAATTCTGCCGTGTATGTGAGAAAAGTGACAACAACAAGAAGACATGCTCATCTGTCTGCCTGCCCTCCCTTCTAGCTCTAGTACCATAAAAATCTTTGATGTCTTGCTGTTGGTAGACAATAATGGTAATGCTGTGCGCCAATCACGTATTATCTTGAGCAAAGCCACTTTATGTTTAGTCACAAATCCTGTCTAACTGTATTCTCAATAACAAAAGACGCACAAATTCACTATTAGACAGAATCATCACTGGAAAAGACGATGCAAATAGACGTAAGCTGCTATATTTTGTACGGCAGAAGTAAGTTGATTTCACAGTAACAGTTGGCGGTCAACCATTTCCAAGAGCGTGATCCTTTGTCACCCTGCTGCAGCATAAGCGGTCAGAAATCTGCTTACATTTTAAACAGTAGGAAGGTCATATCGACTACTTCGGACCTTTGCAAGAACAATAATCTTGGGTAAAACTGTCCTCAGCCAAACTACTGGGGTCACATGAGTAGTACCATTAGCCAGCGTAAACGGTTAAAGTAGTAAATTTACATTAAAAAAGTTACTGAAAAGAGGATAAGGTTATATTTTGATCCACCTAACTACCTACAGATACTGAAAAACGGGAGTGTTAGGCGAAATTATGAACAAAGGCTGCCATAGGAGAAATCATGACAGGGCTCATTGTCAAGCTCATAATCAATCTAGCTGCTTCAGTACCCCTGTCAAACAACTACCACCAGCTGTTGCTGTGGTATTCATATTCATGCTCCTCCTTCTGCATCCAGCATGCTCAATCTCATTTTAATATGGTGATTACAAAGGGCTCCTGGGAATATCCGGAAATTGAACACCTCTACACTTGTATAAATGCACTCTCTGCAAAATGAGCTGAAGTGGAGGTGCATAATAACTCAGATTTATAGCTTCAACTGCAATAGAACTATGCATGACGCATATTTGTGGCTCAGGATGCTATAGTATAATGAAGTACACCTGCTTGTCTCTGTCAGCCGATCCCAATCAGTAAGTAGCATACAGGATTTCCTTGACAGGCTACGAACTTGTTAATTTGAAGCCGATTTTGGGGCCAGGTAAAGGAGAAGCCTTTTAATGGATATGCATGAATTGGTCCATTGAAACGAATTCAGGAAAAAGAATGCCATGTATCAAGTGAGGAAATGCCCTCCTCCAACAACAGTTATCTGGTTATTGGAAGGTTGGGTTGATACGCGCACTCCTTACTCAGTTTGGTCATAATAAATGAAGGAGTCTCTTACTATGCTTTACTTTGCTTCATAAGCCTACAATACGCCCAAATTTGAGGGATTAACTGGGTTTTCAAATCTTCTAGCAATTCCTAACATTTCAGTAGTGATCGTAAACTGTCGTGCCTCCCACCTCCAATCCACCAACAAAATGTCATTTGCTAGGCGATGTGCTGATGCAATCAGTCGACCTACTTTCTCAAACCATTTGTAGTTAAATGATCTCGCCGCCAGCCAGAAGAGTACACGGGACCGCCAAATTCCAGCACGACAAAATCAAGACCCGATCAAAAAAGATGGTCAAATTCGCGACAAATCCAACTGTATTGAACTAGTATTAATTAGAAAGCATACATTTTCAAAATTATTAACCGATCGGCTTCCTAACACAGGCA